GCCAATTTTTGAGGATTTTTTATGGACCAAAAGAAGACCAGGAGCATCGGAGTTGGGCCAGAAGAGTCCTGGGCTTCCCACGAGAGTGGGGGCCGCCCCCCCTAGGGCGCGCCCCCCTATCTCGTGGACACCCCGGAGACCCCCTGACGTGAAACCAACGCCAAAAATTCCTATAAATACAGAAACCTTCGGGAATTAACCTAGATCGGAAGTTCCGCTGTCGCAAGCCTCTATAGCCACGAGAAATCAATCTAGGCCCTCTCTGGCACCCTGCCGGAGGGGGCCATCATCACCGGAGCCCATGGAGGAGGATCTCGGAGGGGCCTTCATCGCCATGAAGGCCAAGCACCAGAGGGGGAAAGCCATGGAGGAGGAAGCACAAGGGGGAGAACCTCTCCTCCTCTCTCTTGGTGGCACAAGAGTGCCATTGGGAGGGGAATCATCGCCGCAGTGATCGTCTTCATCAACATCACCATCATCATCACCATCCTCATCTCTTTTACGCGGTCCACTCTCCCACATCCCGCTGTAATCCCTACTTGAACATGGTGCTTTATGCTACATATTATGATCCAGTGATGTGTTGCCATCCTATGATGTTTTGAGTAGATATCTTTTGTCCTTGGGTTGATTGATGATCTAGATTGGTATGAGTTGTATGTTTCACTTTGATGCCGTCCTACGGTGCCCTCCGTGTAGCGCAAGCGTGAGGGATTCCCGTTGTAGGGTGTTGCGATACGTGCATGATTCACTTATAGTGAGTTGCGTGAGTGACGGAAACACAAACCCGAGTAAGGGGGTTGTTGCATATGGGATAAAAGGGGAATTGATGCTTTAATGGTATGGTTGGGTTGTTACCTTAATGATCTTTAGTATTTGCGGATGCTTGCTAGAGTTCCAATCATAAGTGCATATGATCCAAGTATGGAAAAGTATGTTAGCTTATGCCTCTCCCTCATATGAAATTGCAATGACGACTATCGATCTTGTTAATATTTGCCTAGGACAATTCCGCACACTGATCCACCATTATTCCACACTCACTATTTATATTATTTAGTAATATATTCTAACTTTATGATAACAGCACCTACTTTTATATTTTAGCTCTCCGATATCCAAAGTTATCCTCTTTATACCCACAACACAATTTTATTTTATTTTCTAGTTGGAAGCAAACGTTCGGTGCATGTAGAGTCGTATCAGTGGCAGATAGGACTTGAGAGAATATTGATCTTACCTTTGGCTCCTTGTGGGTTCGACACTCCATACTTATCACTTACACCTTTGGGAATTGCTATGATGATTCCCTGCACTTGGGGATTATCACTGCCCGAAGGTGACAGGGAGGCGAACCTGCCCTATCGGAGTGGTCGAACCGCCAGTGACTCCTGAGAAAGGCTTGGTTGGCTGAAGCTGATCATATGGCACTTGGAGATTGTTGAACGTCTCGACGGACAGAATGTTGAGTCCTGCGCCGCCATCAATGAGGGTCCTGGTAACTTGCACATTGTTGATGACTAGGGAGCAAAGCATTAGTAGGACACCGGCTGTGGCCGCACACCTGAGTTGGTCCGCTGAGCTGAACGTGATGGCGCACGTGGACCACCTGAGAGGACACGTGGCCTCGAGCTTGGGGAGGACTGCGTTCACTTCGCGAGAAAACTTCTTGAAGATGCGCTGAGAGGCTGGGGCCTGGGCACCGCCCAGGATGCAAGCGATAGCACGCGACTCCTGGAAGCCCCCAGCCCCTCGTCCTGATGATGGTCGTCATTCCTTCTTGGCGGTGGTGGCGGAGGAGGAAGGCCTGCGTTGCCCTGTGGGCGATCCTCGCAAGGCTGATCCCTCCAAGCCCCCTCGCGAGGTTGATCCTGCCAGCGATCCTCGCGAGGGCGGCCATGCCATTCCTGACGAGGGCCTCGGTCGTCCCATCGTCCTCCACCTCTTCCTCCTCCTCGGTCGTAGCCCCGATCGTTGCGCTCGGGGCATCGACCGATACGCCCTTCTAGCACGGCCCTGAGCTCTTGGCATTCGTTTGTGTTGTGGGTGTGGAGGTTCTGGTACACATAGTACCGGCTGCCCTTGGACGACTCTGGATGATCCCTGCCGCGCTCCGTGTCTGGCTCTGCTGCGAGTACGGCTGCTCCTTTGCGCTTCACGTCCTTGGCCTTGGCTTTCTTCTCTTCTGGGTCAGCAGCTGGGAGCTCGAGAAGGGAGAGGCGCCCCTCCTCAGCCCTTGCGCACTTGGTCGCCAGGTTGAACAGCTCCAGGGAGGTGCATAGATCCTCGTGGATCGCCAGCTCCTCCTTCATCTTGACGTCACGGACGCCGTCAGAGAATATCGAGATGATAGCCTCCTCGGCCAGTTTGGGAATCTTGAGGCGCGCGCTGTTAAAGCGCTGCATGTACTTCTGTAGGGTTTCTCCAGGCTGCTGCTTGATGCGGCGCAGGTCACTCACGACCGGAGGACGGTCGCGAGTGCCCTGGAAGTTGGCGATGAAGCGGGTGCGCATCTCATCCCAAGTGGAGATTGTGCCCGGAGGCAGGTTCAGGAGCCAGGTGCGGGCGCCATCTTTGAGCGCCATGGAAAACCAATTCGCCATGACCTTTTCGTCTATGTTGGCCGCTTCGATGCCCAGCTCGTAGAGTTGCAGGAACTTCGCGGGGTCGGCAGTGCCGTCATAGCATGGAGGCAGATCCGGCTTGAACTTGCGTGGCCAGGCGACACTGCGCAGCTTGGTGGTGAAGGCGCGACAGCCGGCGGTGGCCACCGGAGCCTTTTGCAGGCGCGGGGCTTGCGCCTGGGGATTCCCGCGCGCCGCTGCCAGGGGTAGCGCGGGGTCTTGACATGCCGGCGCAGGGATGCGATCTTGGCGTGCCGGAGCTGGGAGCACGCGAGCGCCTTCTTGAGGACGAGGGATTTCTTGGCAGCTCATTTCTTGTCGTGTGGGCGCTGGACGCGGTGAGTCTCGTCCGGGGGCCGCGCGCTTTGGAGCCAGGACACCTTCTTGGGGAGGAGGTGGCGGAGGCACCTCCTGAGCTGCGTCGCCTACGTAGTACGGAGGGCGAGGCGGCGAGAGAGACGGTGCAGGAGAGCCCCCTGCAGCGCTGACGAGCTCGGTGATGCGAGCGAGCCACTCGTCGTAGAGGTCGTCGACGGGACGGTAGTGCAGGAGCTCGTGTGCCAGGAGCAGCGCGGCCTGCACATCCATGGGAGCGCGACGAGCATGCGACGACGAACCAGCTGGAGTCAGCGACGGAGTGGCGGTGCGGCCGTCCCGCCGCACCAAGGGATGCAGGGATGCCGCTTGCTGCTCGTTCCCCGCCGGGCCGGTGGCGGCGTTGGCGGCAGGCGACGGAGAGCGACGGGGAGGCCTACCGATGGGAGCCGTCTGGGCAGCACGATCGAACGCGGGACAGGGGAAGAAAGATTCCGGCACACCCCTACCTGGCGCGCCAAATGTCGGATATCGGGTTCCGGCAAAACCCTTAAGGTTCGAACTCTGGGGTGCGCGCGAAGATCTTCCCCCTACCGATCCACGTCCCAATGCCTCGCTGCGGATCTAAGCTACACGATGAACAACACAAGGGACACAAGGTTTATATTAGTTCGGGCCACCGTTGTGGTTTAATACCCTACTCTAGTTTGTGGTGTGGTTGATTGCCTCAGGGGTTGATGATGAAGAGTACAGGGGGAAGAACTGCCTCGTGAGGGGAGGAGTGTTCTTGTGCTGGTGTGGGTGGTTTTGGCTAAGGTTCGGTTGGTCGCCCCTTGACTTGAGAGTGGTTAGTCCTATTTATAGAGGCCTTGGTCCTCTTCCCAAATATTGAGCGGGAAGGGAGCCAACAACGGCCATTTTGAAGGGGAACATCCAGTATAATTTATCCTGACTAAAGTTGGTCTTCGGCTTCCAAAGGCACTGGCGATGACGCCGTCTTGGGCTCCACGGTGACCTCCGTCCTGCCGCTCTGCTGGTCTTGGTCTTGTTGCACCGAAATGGTAACCTTTGCCGGATGCCTCGGTACTCCGCGACTGCGTTTGCCCCCTTTGCACCGAAGAGGGAACAAGGGCACTGGATAGGCCGACGCCCGCCTGGCACCCGCCTGGTCTCGATCGTGATGGCTTGCGTCACGAGCACCTCGCGAGGTACCCCTGTCTTGATCTCTCCGCCTGCTCGCGAGCCTGCCTGATGAGGCCGCTCCTGAGGAAGCCTTGCATCGTCCGCCCCACGAGGCTTGGCCCCTCGCGAGGGTCTTGAGCTTGAGTTGATGAAGACGGACCGTACTGGGCCACTCATTGAGCCATATGCCGCATGCCGCAGGTAGGCAAGTCTGAGGACCCCTATTTCCAGAACGACGACAGCGGTAGCGCAAGGGGAAACAGATGCAAAAGTGTGTTCTTGACGCGGCAGGAAAGAAGTGCCAAAGACAGAGGGATGTATAATGCTGATCAGGCGACACATGATGCGTTTGGCCGCAATGCAAAATTCATACCTTCGCCGACTAACTTTCTCCTTTATTTCATTATACTTCTGGGACGTAATAAGCGCTTACTCTAACATAGTCAATGTATGCTCACAGAGGATTTACGACAAAGATCAAGGCAAACTTAAGGCCTGGCGACACCCCGCTAGCCTCAACAACCTCAAACGAGTCTGAATCCTGGCCACCCGGCAGCTCTCAGTCGAAATGGTACATAATGTTCGCCAGCGTGAGCTCTGTGAGGCGCGTCCGACAGGCCATACCGGGGCACCCCCTCCTCCCCGCGCCGAACGGTAGGAACAGTCCTTGCCATTGTAGTCGATGGTTCTACTCGGCCTTTTGCGTTAACCGACAGGAAAGAAGTGCTGAAGATAGAGGGGTGTACGATGCGGATCAGGCGACGAGTGATGTGTCCTGCCACAACGCAAGATTCATACCGTTCACCGGTTAACTTTCTCTTTTATTTAATTGCCCCGGGGGAATTAATTAGCAGTTACTATAACATTGTCAATGTATGCTTACAGAGGTTTTACGGCAAGGATCAAGGCAGACTTAAGGCCTGGCGACACCCAGCTTGCCTCAACAAGCTCAAACGAGTCCGGATCCTGGCAACCCGGCAGCTCCCAGTCGAAATGGTACATCATGTTGGCCAGCGTGAGCTCCGTGAGGCGCGTCCCAAAGGCCATACCGGGACACCCCCTCCTCCCTGCGCCGAACGGTAGGAACCGGGGGTCGTTTCCATTGTAGTCGATGGTTCCGCCCAGGAACCTTTCTGGCCGGAACTCCTCGGCGTTCTCCCATGAATCTTTATCCCTCCCGATGGGCGATGGCCCACGTGTTGACCATGACATTGGTTTTGGCCGGGATGTCATAGCCGTGCAGCTGTGCATCTTGAATCGACTCTCGTGGGAGGAGGAGCGGCACCGCTGGGTGTAGCCGCAATGTTTCTTTCATGGCCGACTGCAGGAGGTTCATCTTGTCCAGCTCCTCCTCAAGGACTCCTGCATGCTCACCTGCAACCTGTCTCACCTGTGATTGCACCTTTGCCATTTCTCTTGGATTCTTGATGAGCTCCGCCATGGTCCATTCTATCGTCTTGTAGGTCGTGTCGGTGCCACCTATGAACATGTCCTGCAGATGTAATATAATGCCAAGATAAGCTAATAAGCATGCATGTCCTCTGGCTGCTCCTACTCCTAGAGTGGCAGCTGGTGCCGTGTATACTGCTAATCGACCAACCGGCAACCAGTTCTTGTTCTCAGATTAATACTTAGTTTTCTCGAACAAAACAAATTAATTTCACTTACCAAGATAAGTCCCTTCACATCAATCATGTCCAGCTTAAACCTCTGGTCACCATCCTTAGCGATCGAGAGCAAGTCGTCCAGGAGGTCCCGGGCCCCGTCGTCGTTTCCTGGGTTCCCCTCGTGCTCCGTGATGGTCCTCCCCATAATACTGTCGAGCTTGGCCGCCGTCCTCTTCACCCTCGCGTCGAGCCCCGTCGCCCAGTCCACCAGCCACCCTATTGTCGGGAACACGTCGCTCACGGCGATCGTGCCGAGCAGCTCAGTGAGCTCGTTCATCATGTCGCGGACCTTGGCCGGCTCCACGCCGCCAAGCTTGTGCCCGAAAGCCGCCCTCGAGATCACGGAGTAGGTTAGGGTGATGATGAGCTCGGTGACGTTGACCCCCGGGCGTTTGCCGCCGTCCTCCTGGGTGCCACTGGCCGCGCGGACCCGTCCCACGAAGCGCGCGACCTCCTCCTCCCGGAGGGCGCGGAAGGAGTCGACCCGCTTCACGCTGAGGAGGTGCACCACGGCGATGCGGCGGAGTTGGCGCCAGCGCTCGCTGTAGGCGCTGAAGGCGACGTCCCGGCAGCCGTAGAACGTACCGCGGGTCATGTACTGCTGCGGGCGGCTGCAGAAGACGTGGTCCTGGGTCCTTAGCACCGCGTCGGCGAGTGGAGCCGAGGAGACCACGACGGCCCGCACGGCGCCGATGCGGAGGAGGATGAGCGGGCCGTGGCGCCGCGCGAGGGCCTCGAGCGTCTGGTGATGGCGGCCCCGCCCAAACTGGAGCAGGTTGCCGATGATGGGCAGCCCAGGTGGCGAAGGTGGCTGCGCACTCCGGCGGCCGTATCCGAAGCCTTTCGCGACGATGGTGAAGTAAGATACCACGAAGAGGAGGCAGAGGACTAGGGTAGAGTCGAGCTGAAGAGATGCCATGAGGGCTAAGCTAGCCTAGCAGAGCGGAATGGACGCAACATGTGTGTACAACGACCAGATAGCTAGCGGTGAACTTAAGCTGATGCGCAGGATCCACACAAGACAAATTTCGCCTGATGGATATGTCTAGACGACCGGACACGTACGGCGGCGACACGAAAGAGTGGAAGCCATGTGGCAGAGCTGCGCATGGAACGACGAGGCCGGCCGGAGGTCAACGGAGTAGATATATCTCGTCTAGTTGTGGTACGGTTCAGGCATTGAGCGATGGTTGTTGCACGGCGGGACGGAGATCATATCGGAAATATCTGCTTTCGACGCACCCAACATGCATGAATGCATGGACAGGACAGCAACATCGTTGTCCCGATACCCGCAAAAGAAAAGAAAAAACATTGTTGTCCCGATGCAATCATGCAAGATGCCGACCCCGGCCTGATTTTTCTTTTACGGATCCCGGAGCTACCGGCGAAGAATCCACCACACATGATTTCTTTGAGATTCGTGGCCACTGTTCATATATAAGCAAGCCAATCTCTCACATTTCAATAGGCGAGAATACAAACCTGTTATGGACCCCTATGCATGCCATGCAGCTTTTGTGAATCTACATGTGGGTAGTATACGGCGACTAAACATTCACAAGTCTTTCTCCCAAGGAAAGACTAGTATTAATTTTGATAGCCAAAATTTTGGAGATTGATATTTTAAACAATAAATTTAATTGGTGATATTTTTATATATTTGAATTACTCAAGGCAAGACCTTTAAAATAATATCAAAATTGTATACATTTCGACTAATTTTATTTCACAGATTCCAAACAACATATTTCACTCAACTAAAAAAACTTATTTCACTTATCTTGTACAAGAAAACTGATTTCACTCATTTTGAAAATATAGATTTCACTCATTTCAATAAACGATTTCACTTCTATTGTTTACAAAAGATAGGTTTCACACATTTTTTAAAACACATTACACTCGCTCAATTGAAATAATATATTTCACTCATTTAAAAAAAACTGATTTCGCATACGCTTGAAAAGTTTGAAGCATTGACATAACTGATTTCTGAAATATGCATGTAAAACATTTCACTCATCTCCGCAAATAAATTTCTTTATTTTCAATTAACATATTTCACTCAAAAATTCATTTCACTCTTTATATAAAAAGAGATTTCACATAGTTGAAAAATATAATTTAACTCAGTTCTAAAAAAACATTGGTTTCAAGTAGTGGTATATGTGAAATATAACTGAAACTGAAATTATTGAGCGAAGCAACTTCACAATAACAGACTGAAAAAAGGTGTTTCACAAAAAATATATTTCAATTTAAAAACTAATTTCATTTATTAGAAATAATAATTCATATAAACTTATTTCACTCATTTTAAATGACTAATTTCACTTGTTTCATTTGACTGACATGTTTCAATTATTTTAGGAGCTAATTTCTCTCATTTCATAAGATTAATTTCACTCATTTCAAAAGACTAATTTCACTCGTTTCATTTGAAAAGACATGCTTCAATTTTTTTCAGGAGCTGATTTCACTCATTTAGAAAAAATTCTTGTTTCAAGAAGCTGATATATGTGAAATATAACTGGAACTGAAAAGAGTGAACAAAACAACTTCACAAAAGAAGCTCATTTGAAAAACACACTGAAATAGAATGAGTAAAATAAGTTGATTGAAATACTAAAATTTAAATGTGCTGAAAATGTATCAAAGTTGGTCTTGTTCTCATGGTCTTCATACCAGGAGTTCAAATGTATAAAAAAAATTCGAAAATAGAGTTTTGGTTTAAAAGATATGAATAATTTCAATTATAACCAGAAAATAAAAAGGAACGGGTTTTGATGGAGAGAGGAGAGAGAGTAAAGCAATGCATGTAATTGTACGTGAGTGGATGAGAGAAAAATGGCATCCCATGTGGTGGGTCCAGGAGAAGGGAAAGACAAAATATGCAAATGGCTGAAAGGAATCAAATACAATCGCATTATAAAAGTACTAGATGTGGTGTCAGTTACTCACTGGCGGCAAGACCACCGCTAGCTCCCGGCTCCGGTAAAAGTGACTTTGCGGACCCCGACCAGGGAAGAGGCGGCAGGTGCGAAGCTGCGGTATTTCTCTCTTTTTGAAAAAGGGGATCTTCCTGATTTTCATCACTATTAAGTATTAACACTTTTCATCAAATTTCATTAATATTAGCAGAAAGGGGTTTGCTATATCTTAGTCGACTGAGATTTAGTGAAGTCTCAGTTGACTCTACAGCAGTTGGATTATAAGCGCTGAGATTCGTGTCAAAAGTTGTTCTGTACGGCAATTTTTCTGTACGTTGTGTGCTTGTATGTGTTGATGGATTCTATAAGCATTGTTTTTGTTGCACCAATCTGGGTTTTTGTGCCACTTGTGGGCTTTTCTATTTTTTCTTGGGTTTCTTTTCGTGTTTGCCCGTGAATGTTGGATAACCGGTTAGCAGCATGTGTGTCTTTTCCGTTGATTTTTGTGTCCTCATTTTACCTTTTTAAAATCTTTTGTTATTTTTGCAGGAAAATCTTTTGCTTCTTTCGTACTTTTCTTGATTGTTCTTTTTTTTGGCAACATTTGATGAATATGTATTCCGCTGTCTGGATTTTTTTTAATCTGAAATGTTTAATAAAATATATAAACTTTTTTAAATGGACTTATTTTTGTGCAATTTTTTTATTTTAAATACGTGATGATCTTGCTTATTTCGCATGTAGGTATGCATATATGCAACATTATTTCCATTTTGTATATTTTTTCTTCATACACTTTTGTTTACTTTGTATTTGTTAATATCATTTGAGATGGTATTTTCAAAATAAGTGGTTTTAAGATTTACAGTGTTTTTATGCGTTCCTTGTGCTGTTGTTTTTCCTTCTTCATTTTTTCACCTTTTTCTTGTTTTCATTTCTATTTTAATTAGTCATTTTGAACGACAATATTGTTGCTAACCATTCTGCTTTAAATATTTTATTAAACAACCACTTTTACATTTCAATTTGAAAATATTTTCATTTGGTTGCACAATCCCCCTCGACTGCAACTATAGTCCTCTATGCAACTATAACTTAGTGGTGTCTTTTCAGTTAGGAACAGTTGCATGTGTGCCCCTAGGCACATAACTGCAAGTGTTGCCCTGACTGCAACTCTGGGGTGTTTTGTCGAGGAGAGGGGCCGTTGCATGTGTACCACTAGGCATGCAATTGCAAGTGTCGTCCCAACTGCAACTGCGATTATGTTGTGTTTTATCAGGGAGGGGTTGTTGCATGTCTGCCACTAGGCATGCAATTGTAAATGTTGTCACCGACTACAACTTTGTGGCGTTTTTTGTCGGGGAGGAGGGCAGTTGCATGTGTGCTACTAGGCACGCAATTGCAAGTATCGCGCCTGACTGCAACTATGAGGTATTTTTTGGGGAGAGGGTAGTTGCATGTTTGCCACTAGGCATGCAACCGCAAGTGTCGCCTCCAACTGGCAACTTCATATCTTCAATGCAATTGCGATTCTGTGGTGTTTTGTCGAGAGGGGTTGTTGCACGTGTACCAGTAGGCATGCAATTGTAAGTGTTGTCACTGACTGCGACTTTGTGGTGCTTTTTGTCAGGGAGGTGGGAAGTTGAATGTC